AAAACTGGTTTATTCTTTCCGAATATAACTCTGCGATACACTTAATCTCAATACTCGCGCTAAAACAACACTGTAACGTTAACTTCAACAATACCCTGTGACTGCAGTTCAATTACTCACTGTCTACACACACATTACCTTCCCCTCTTTTATATACCAGCCTACCCTATATCTAGTAAGAACTAGAACATTCGCCAAAGTACAGGATAATTCTAGAAAGTAGAGAGCGTGAGAATCACATGATCTCGATGACGCAACAGTACATTAAACAATCGTGTTTTGGTCAAAGGTTGAGAATATTTAGAAGAACATAGGTTAGAGTGGGTGTAAACTAAAATAACGAGTTTAGTACACAAAATGAGAAATGCTTTAAAGCCGAAATGACACTTATAATACAGGTAACAGAAAAGATAATTATACAAGTTTAAGAGAAACTTAACTGATACAAAGTTACTGAGATTTGCATTTAAATTAACGATATCCTAGGTCAATGTTGAGTCTTGTCTCTTAATAAAAACTAAAGTTACCATTGTCTTTATCAACGTAAATAATCATCAGTTTAGAAGTTACATTTTAAAGTAAAATTCTTACAGTAAATTACAAGCTAGTTTAACCTAATCTTACTAACTATAAAAAAAAACGTAAGTACGAAGTAACAATTACACCAAAAGTTAAAACTAAAACTCGTTTTCAGAGGCCTTAAAGTTCAAGGCCTTGTGGTGAATATTTTTTTGTTGGACGATTCAAACGTACTACCGGTTTGTACTCGTGTACCGTACAAGCACGTTACCAAAAAATGTTCACGTATAATCCGTCATTTACATGTACGAGTGTTATTACTGTTCCATCTGTAAACTTTTTTTTTTTCAGAATTCCCATGATATTCTATAGAAAAATCGGTTTTCAGTGTACGTGTGTTATTATTCAATTTATTGTTATTTGAGCGTATGTCGGTTATTAATTTTTCACGTATAAATCGTTCAACTTTCATCGTACACTGTACGTTGGTTTAACTTTACGGATATGGTTTTTATATTCAGGTGGGTCACAAAAATACTGTTGGTTTACATTTTCCTAAGTTCCTGAAGAAACGTTATTAACTACAAAATATCAGACTACTGCAAAGTAAAATAATGGATTTTTCCTACTTGAAGGTCAAGAAATCAAGTTCAATGAAACTTACCTGAGCATGATTCATGTGTCAAATGTCCTCGTTATATTTCAACTTTTTTATTACTGACTGGAAACTACCACAAGTACTCGAAGCTCCGCGCATAGAAATAGTTATGTAATTTCACCTCTATCGCTAGCAGTAATGAAGTTAATAACTTGTTTCATTACACTATACTACATTACGTCACGAACATTTTTCCCCTCCAACCAGCTTCGAAGACAATTACACGCATGCGCCCGAAAAATACTTTGTCATTCAGAATCTCTTCAACATCGACAGGAACTTTCGCAATGACTGCAGAGGGACAGAAAATGTTTAAATAAACATTTAGGATTATTACTGTGACTGTTTACATGTAGTTAGTGCAACCAACCTGAGATAAAACCAACATTTCATATAATATGTTGTATTTAACAAATGTGGTATTACTCGCGTTTGTTTTCCCATGACGAAACTCTTGTAGCTTCACTGTTCTGTCACGATCTGGATTCTACGCGGGAAAAGTGCTAACGTGGGACATTTCATATAATAGGTTGTACTTAACAAATGTGGTATTACACGCGTTTGTTTTCCCATAACGAAACTCTAGTAGCTTCACTGTTCTGTCACGATCTGGATTCTACACGAGAAAAGAGCTAAAGTGGGACATTTCATATAATAGGTTGTATTTAACAAATGTGGTATTACTCGCGTTTGTTTTCCCATAACGAAACTCTAGTAGCTTCACTGTTCTGTCACGATCTGGATTCTACACGGGAAAAGTGCTAAAGTGGGACATTTCATATAATATGTTGTATTTAACAAATGTGGTATTACTCGCGTTTGTTTTCCCATGACGAAACTCTTGTAGCTTCACTGTTCTGTCACGATCTGGATTCTACACGGGAAAAGAGCTAACGTGGGACATTTCATATAATAGGTTGTATTTAACAAATGTGGTATTACTCGCGTTTGTTTTCCCATAACGAAACTCTTGTAGCTTCACTGTTCTGTCACGATCTGGATTCTACACGGAAAAGAGCTAACGTGTGACATTTCATATAATAGGTTGTATTTAACAAATGTGGTATTACTCGCGTTTGTTTTCCCATAACGAAACTC